TTTGGCTCCTGTGGACAGGTGACTGTCCCTTTGCCTCCTCCCTTCCATATCAGGTAAGCCAGGAAATAAGACTGTCAGCTGAATAGTCAATTCAAAGTCCCTCGAAGCATGTCTGACCAATTGCATCCTTGTTCCCCCTTCTCTTGGTCCCTTCTCCTCTCATGCCATTTAATTTTTCTGTTGGCCATTTTATTTCATTTTATTTTCCACTCTGAAATATATATATCTTTTGTAGTTTTTGCTTTAAATCCCCGCTAACTATATTTGGGCAATTGTTTAAGGCAGGACACTTGCTTGTGAGAGGTCCCTGTCGTATTGACCCTGGAAAAAGTTGTTCTATGCCCCCGACTTGGTCTTTGGGGTTCACTGTTGGCCACCCCCGATATGGTCCAGGGTTTTCCACATTTGGTGTGAGGACTCTCGTTGGCCAGTTCTCAGATACTCTGGGGTTTTAGGCATTTGATATTGTTGGCCGCCCTCCAGGTGCTCAGGGGATGTCGGCATTAGCATTCTTTCTAGGACTGTGGCTTGGGTGCCCACCCCAGGGGAGTCTTGGCCTTGCATTTTCTTGTTTTCTGCCCTAAAGTTATCATTTCTGTAACAACATCTTTTTTTTTTTTTTTTTTTTTTTGTGAGGACCGATGTTCGCATCTGGTTGCCCAGGCTAGAGGGCAATGGTGCATCTCAGCTCACTGCAACCTCCACCTCCTGGGTTCAAGGCGATTTCCTCTGCCTCATCTCCTGAGTAGCTGGGACTACCAGCACCACCACCACACCCCCAGCTAAATCTTTGATATTTTTAGTAAAAGATGGATTTTCCATGTTGCCAGGCTGGTCCTCGAACTCCTGGACTTGTGATCGCCCATTTGGCCTCCCAAAGTTTGGGATTACAGGCATGAGCCACTGCGCCTGGCCTGTAACAACATTTTCTTTGGTTTATTTACACTGACTTTTTCCTTCTACTCGTTTAATAAAAATAGTCTTTAGTCCATATTTCACATTCACTGGCGAACGCTTATAATCCACTTTCAACAATGCCCTGCACCCTATACTTACGCCTTCTCTGCAAGAGGTAAAAACCTAAAAGCGAAAAATAGCAAGAGCCCAGTTTTCGCTAGACTTAGAAAAACTTCTGCGTCCAGTGTCAATCCTTTAGTCATGGGACAACAACAAGTATTTCAGAGGACTCACCACTAGGGTGTCTTTGGGCTATCAGTGCAAATTCAAATTCTGCTTAAAGGAAAACAAAACAAAACAAAAACCCTCACTTTTCTATTGCAGCACCATTTGGGGTCCAATACAAATTTTTAAAAGGGAAGAAATTTGCTTAAAGTATGAATCACGTATAATGCTATATTACATTAGAGTTTATTCTGTAAAAAAAGAATAAGAAAAATTCGGAGAAGCTCCTATTTATTACAGCGCGTTTTATAGCCTTTACTAGCTCATGTCACTTCCAGACCAAACCAGAGACGTGCTTAAGGATCACCCTCCTAGTGCTCCCTTTAAAGGGCCTACACCGTCCCTGGAGAACTTCTTAGACCACCAGTTAAAGGGAGAATCCAGCCAGTTTCTGTAATGCGGATTCCACCCCAGGCATAAAACATTCCCTTTATCCACTGCACCTAACCCCTGCCTCCTGCTGTCGAGATAGCCAACCTACCACCAGCTAGGGCCCATCCAACCTAAAAGTTAAACCTGTGTCCATTGCCAGTGAGCTACCTGAACAAAGAACAAAAAATGGAGAAACTAAGAGTATGAATGTCCTGGCCAGGGGCGGGGGCTTACGCCTGTAATCCCAGCACTTTTGGGAGGCAGAGCGTCGTGGATTACCTGAGTCCCAGGAGTTCAGCCAGCCTGACCGAACATGGTGAAACCCCGTCCTCTACTAAAATACAAAAATTAACCAGGAGTCGGTGGCGCGCGCTTCTATAATCCCCACTATTTGGGAGGCTGAGGTAGGAGATTGCCTTGAACCACGGGAGGCACAATGTTTCAGTGAGCTGAGATCGCCACCATTGTACTACCAGCCTGGCAACCCGAGAGTGAAACCTCCATCTCAAAAAAAAAAAAAAAAAAAAAATTAAACATGTGCCCAACCTTTTCAAAGCTCCAGATTTGGCTTTATGCAAGACAAAAGCCATTGCCCCAGGTTTTTGAGATCGCAAGAAAGTTCTCTAGAAAATTGTATTGGCCGGGCACGTGGCTCAAGCCCTGCTAAATCCCAAGAACTTTGAGCGCCGAAACAGGCAATCAGGAGGCTCAGCGAGATTCCGAACCGTCCTGGCTAACACGTAAATCCCTCTCTACCTACAAAAATACAAAAAACTAGCGGCAAGGGTGGCAGCCCTGTATGTCCCAGCTACTCGGAGGACTGGAGACAGGAGAACCAGCAGTGAACCTGGGAGGCGGGCTTGCCAGTGAGCTGAGATCCGTCCACTGACACTCCAGCCTGGGCTCACAGAGCGAGATCCGTCTCAAAAAAAAAAAAAAAGAAAAAGAAAATTTGTATTTAAAGTTGACCATACTTCTCTTAACTTGGCATGACTTGGCAAAATAATGTTATCCCAACTTACGCTGTGCGTGAAAAAAAAAAGAAAAAAAAAAACAGGAAAAAACTAACCATTAAGCCCGCAAGATTTTTTAAATAACTAAAAAAAAAAAAGTCCCACACTGTTTCAGGGTCATTTGGTTAAGACCCTACAAAAAACAAACAAACAAAAACTTAGCCGAGCATGGTGGCGGGCAGTGTAATCCCACTTGGGAGGCTGAGGTGGGAGGATCGCTTGAACCAAGTAGGCAAAGGTTGCAGTGAGCTGAGATCACACCACTGCACTCTAGCCTAAAAAAAAAGGAAGAAAGAAAAAGAAAAACATTTACAAAATAAATAAAAATCTACTTACAGAAAGACATCATTAGTATAATGAAAAGGCAAGCCATAGACTGGAAGAAACTATTTGCAATACACATATTGCAAAGTCAAAGTCAAAAGACTTTTATCTAGAATTATTACATAAAGAGCTCTAAAAACTCAATCAAAAAACAAACCAAAAAAATTTTTGAATACAAACTTCTCAATAGATGATATACAAAGTCAGACACAAAATAATACATATTGTGTGATTTATTTTTATGAAATTCTAGGAAAAACAAACTCATAGTATCAGAAAGCAGATCATAGGTCAATATAGAGGCTGATGAAGAGCAAAAAAGAAAGAAAGAAGGAAGGAGAGAGAGAGTGAAAGGAAGAAAGGAAGGACAAGGAGGAAGGAGGGAGGGAAGGAGGAAGGAAGGAAGAAAGGAAAGGAGGGAGGGGAGAGAGAAAGAAGAAAGAAAAGAAAGAGAAAGAAAAAAGAAAGGAAGGAAGGAAAGAAAGAGAGAAAGAAAAAGAGAAGGAGAGAAAGAAGAAAGAGAAAAGAAAAGAAAGAAAAGGCAGGAAGACAGGAAGGAAAGAAGGAAGGAAAAAATCAGTGGTTGTCTGGATTATAGGGTGGGCATGGGGCTTGATTGGGAAGGAGCACAAGGGGTAGTTTTAGGTGTGATTTAAATGTTCTAAATATTTTTCTTCTTCTTCTTTCTTCTTTCTTCTTCTTTTTTGTTTGAGACAGGGTCTTCACTCCAAAGCCAGGCTGAAGTGCAATGGCATTACCACAGCTCACTGCAGCCTCGACCTCCTAGGCTCAGGTGATCCTCCCACCTCAGCCTCCTGAGTAGCTGAGACTACAGGCGTGTGCCACCACACCCGACTAATATTTGTATTTTTAGTAGAGACGAGGTCTCACTATGTTGACCAGGCTAGTCGCAAACTCCTGGGTTCAAGAGATCCTTCAGTCTCAGCCTCCTGAAGTGTTGGGATTACAGACGTGAGCCACTGTGCCCGACCAAAAATGTTCTGTATGTTTTTTCTTTTTCTTTTTTTTTTTTTTTTTTTTTGAGACGAAGTCTTGCTCTGTCACCCAGGCTGGAGTGCAGTGGCACGATCTCGGCTAACTGAAAGCTCCGCCTCCTGGGTTCACGCCATTCTCCTGCCTCAGCCTCCTGAGTAGCTGGGACTACAGGCGCCCGCCACCACACCCGGCTAATTTTTTTGTATTTTTAGTGGAGACGGGGTTTCACCGTGTTAGCCAGGATGGTCTCGATCTCCTGACCTCGTGATCCACCCGCCTTGGTCTCCCAAAGTGCTGGGATTACAGGTCTGAGCCACCGTGCCTGGCCTCTGGGGGTCTCTTTTCATTTTCACTCCTCAGCCAGGGTGGGGGGTGGTGGGGGGTGGTGGGGGCTGGGACATGGGCTCTTCCTGGGGACATCCCAACTCCTCTGCTCCTTTCTACAACTTCTGCTGTTCCTCTCTTCCCCTCTCCTCATGCTTTCATAATTGCCTTGGTGGGCAGTGGTAAGGTGACCGGCTCAATATCAGAGCATTTATTCTTCCAAACCTTTTTGGGTTTGGGGGAGTTTTTGTTTTGTTCTGTTTTTTAGACAGCATTTCACTCTGTCTCCCAGGCTGGAGTGCAGTGGTATGATCATGGCTCACTGCAGCCTCAACCTTCGGGGCTCAGGTGATCCTCCCCAGTCAGCCTCCCAAGTAGCTGGGACCACAAGTACAAGTCACCACACCTGGCTAATCTTTGTATTTTTTCTTTTTTTCTTTTTTTTGAGATGAAGTCTTGCTCTGTCACCCAGGCTGGAGTGTAGTGGCGCGATCTCGGCTCACTGTAAGCTCTGCCTCCCAGGTTCACGCCATTCTCCTCCCTCAGCCTCCTGAGTAGCTGGAACTACAGGCACCCGCCACCACACCCGGCTAATTTTTTTGTGTTTTTAGTAGAGACAGGGTTTCACCGTGTTAGCCAGGATGGTCTCGATCTCCTGACCTTGTGATCCGCCCACCTCAGTCTCCCAAAGTGCTGGGATTACAGGTGAGAGCCACCGCACCCGGCCAATCTTTGTATTTTTTGTAGAGACAGAGTTTGACCACGCTACCTAGGTTGGTCTGGAACTCCTGGCCTCAAGCCATCCACCCGCCTCGGCCTCCCAAAGTGCCGAGATTACAGGCGTGAGCCACTGTGCCGGCCCATATCTATCGTTTATGACACTGAAACTGGTATTGTGAGTTCTTTTGTTGTATGGTGTCCTGAGTCAGGGACTGGAGAGGGAGGGTCACAGGACAACAGGAAATGTGTGTGTGTGTGTGTCTGTGTGTGTCTGTGACCTGTGATATGATCTCACACTGTGTTCTCCTGTTCAGGTGTCTGTTAGAATCGGGTTGAGGGGAGTGAGGGAGGGTGGAAGTCTGGCGGGGAGCAGCGCTGATGCTTGTTTTGGACCCTGGCAGGGCTGGAGAGAGATCTTGGAGATAAAAGAGACCCGAGATAGGGGGAGAGTCTGAGAGTGGGGAGGAAGATGTCTTGAGAATAGGTAAGCCAGATTTCAGGCTGGAGAAGGCAGAATGTGAGTTTGGTCAGAAATGTCCATGGGCGCTGGCTAGAGGAGGCAGCAGACAGTTAGGGAGGAAGCTCTGGAGTTTAGGAGGGAGTGGGGAGGCCAGTGGATTGGGCCTGTCTTGCTGCCTGCTTATTTAGTGTTTGGTGATGGGGAAGCAGGATTTTATTTTTTCCTTTTTACTGGAATTTGGCCAGATTAAGCTCTAGGACTGCCCTGGACATATGGCTTCTCCAAACCCTGGGACCAGCCAAAGCTTCTTATGTGGGGTCACCCCAGCCAGCCCCATGGCCCTGTTCTTCACATGGCTACCTTATCTGGGACCACATTTCCAATGGGTCTCTGATCTAGAAAGCTGGAATTATCCAGAGAGGCTCTGGATCAAGGGGGTAGGGCATGTCTCTGCCAACATGGGACTTACTTTCTGCCTCTTTAAGATGTCAGCTCCACCAGGCCTCACGACTTCTTCTTGTCCACTCCTCTATCCTGGGCACATTGTGGACACACGGTAAATGTCTGCTGAGTGAACGAGCCAAGATCTGAGGGGATTCCCTAGGGTGGGAAGAGCCACGCATCTTCTCTACAGCCCCAAGGGCAGAAGGCTGACCGTCCCACGGAAGCTAACGAGGGATGGATTTGACCCTACATCAGAAAGGGCCTTGACCAGCCAGAGCTCCTGAGAGCATCCTGTCACCTGAGCTGACCATGCTGGGGCCAGGGGTGGACCCGGAATGACCCTGTGGAAAAATGATTTGCTTCAAGGCAGAACTGAAGGGCCCCTGAGGGTCCTTGCAGCCACCGTGTCCAGAACCAGGCTTCTGGGTCTCATTGTGGTAGGTAATGGCAGTTGAGATGGCAGCTCTCAGCCAAGAGCAGTGGTTCACACCTGTAATCCCAACACTTTGGGAGGCCAAGGCGGGAGGATCGCTTGAGCCCAGAGTTCAGGACCAGCCTGGGCAACATGGTAAAAACCCCCATCTCTACAAAAATACATAAATCAGCCAGGGGTGGTGGTGCAGGCCTGTAGTCCCAGCTACCTGGGAGGCTGACGTGGGAGGATCGCTTGAGCTCAGGAGTTCAGGATCAGCCTGGGCAACATAGCCGTCCCCCGTCTCCATTTTTTTTTTTTTTAATGTAAAAAAGAGAGAGAGAGAGAGATGGCAGTCAGACAAATCTAGGTTTAAATCCTGGGTCCTCCATTAATCTGCGTGATTTGGGCATGTTATTCAATGTCTCTAAACCTGTTACCTCATTTACAATGTGAAGATACTAATGATATCACCTCAAAGGCTGGTTGTAAGCATTAGATTCAAACAATAACCTTTTTTTTCCCCTTGAGTCCGGGTCTTGCTCTGTAACCCAAGCTGGAGTGCAGTGGCTCACTGCAACCTCGACCTCCTGGGCTCAGGCAATCCTCCCGCCGCAGTCTCCCGAGTAGCTGGGAGCACAGATGTGCACCACCACGCCCTGCTCATTTCTGGTTTTGTTTGTTTGTTTCTTTTTGTATAAACAGTGTCTCAGTTTGTTGCCCCAGCTGGTCTCAAACTCCTGACCTGAAGCAATCCTACTGCTGCGACCTCCGAAGTGCTGGGATTACAGGCATCATCCACTGCACTCAGCCTCAAACAATAGCCTATTACATATTTAGCTCAACATCTGGCACACGGCCTAGACTCAATAAACATTGGCTATTGTTACTGTGCTGGAGATGGGCCAGAGGGGGCTGGTTCCCAGGGCCCAGTGAACCAGGACGGACCACATGTAAAGTAAACAAACTGGTTGGCAGACAGAAAGGTGCATGCAGTGCTTCCTTTAGATACCCGAAGTGCACTTTTCTAGTATGATACAATCTTTTTTTAAGAGACAGGGTCTTGCTATGTTGCCCAGGCTGGAGTACTGTGACTGTTCACAGGCACGATCCCACTACTGATCAGCCCAGGAGTTTGGATCCACTCCTTTCCGACTTGGACAGGCTCACCCCTCTCAGGCAACGTGGTGGTCCTGCTCCCAGAAGGTCACCATACTGAAGCTGAACTTAGTGCAGACACTCGATGGGCATAGTGCACTGTGGCCTAGAACTCCAGGGCTGAAGCGACCCTCCCACCTCAGGCTTCCCAGTAGCTAGAACTACAATTTCATACAATTTGGATTCATATAGTTCCAAATAATCATGGGTAATGGGGAGCAATATCTAGAGATGCAAAAGGTGGTGTTTTTAAAAGAGCTACAGAAACAGATACTAAATCCATAACTGGTACCGACGTTTCTCATTTGTGTTAAACACAAAATGACAGATATCTTGATTCTAAGTCACTTATGCACACAGAAAGACTTCAGACCTAGTTTCTTCTCTCTTAGAACAAACAACTGCAACAAAAAAGGCTATCTAGGGCTGGGCACAGTGGCTCACGCCTGTAGTCTCAGCACTTTGGGAGGCTGAGGCAGGCAGATCACTTGAGGTTGGGAGGTCCAGACCAGCCTGGCCAACATGGTGAAACCCCATCTCTATTAAAAATAAAAAAATTAGGCCGGGCGTGGTGGCTCAAGCCTGTAATCCCAGCACTTTGGGAGGCCGAGACGGGCGGATCATGAGGTCAGGAGATCAAGACCATCCTGGCTAACGCAGTGAAACCCCGTCTCTACTAAAAAAAAAATATATACAAAAAACTAGCCGGGCGAGGTGGTGGGCGCCTGTAGTCCCAGCTACTTGGGAGGCTGCAGGAGAATGGCATAAACCCGGGAGGCGGAGCTTGCAGTGAGCTGAGATCCGGCCACTGCACTCCAGCCTGGGTGACAGAGCGAGACTCCGTCTCAACAACAACAACAAAAAAAAATTAGCCAGGCATGGTGGCACATGCCTGTAATCCCAGCTACTAGGGTGGCTGAGGCAAGAGAATCGCTTCAACCCAGGAGACGGAGGTTGCAGTGAGCCAAGATCATACCACGGCACTCCAGCCTGGGCAACAGAGCAGGACTCTGTCTCGAAAACAAACAAACAAAAAAGCTATCTAGATTGTGCTACTGACAATATTTATATTGTTTTATTAACCTAAACTCTGTGTTAAACTGGATCATTTGTGGAAACAGTAAGCATATCAATAACGACAATAAACTTTCAGGATTTTTTTGTTATTTTATTTTTTGAGATAGGGTCTCACTCTGTCACCCAGGCTGGGGTGTAGTGGCACAATCACAGCTCATTGGAGCCCCAACTTCCCAAGCTCAAGTGATTCTCCCACCTCAGCCTCCTGAGTAGCTGGGATTACAGCTGCATGCCACCAAGCCTAGTTAATTTTTTTTTTAGACACAGGGTTTCACTATGTTACCCAGGCTGGTGTCAAACTCCTGGACTCAAACTATCTTCCTGCCTCAGTCTCCCAAAAAAGTGTTGTGATTTTAACCAAGTATTCCCATTTTTCTTAGAAAAAGAGAGTAAGTTACTATTATTTTTTTCTTCTTTTCTCTTATTTTCTTTTCTCCATTTCTCCTATTCCCCACTTCCTAATTAACCAATGCAATTATAACCTTTCAGCTCGCCTTCACCAGACACTCCCCACAGGGAAAGTTCATCTAACCATGTGCTTAGAGGCTCCAGGGCAGAACTCTCTCCCACCAAGCGACTGTCTCAGAGATATCAGTCAATGTGCAACCCAAAGTATGCCCACTACGAAACTCTCTCCCACCAGGAAGTTGCCTCAAGAGACAACAGTCCATCTACGACCTCAAGTATGCCCGCTACAAGACTCTCTCCCACCTGGAAAGTTTTTGGCCACTTTTACAACCCATAAAGGTGCCAGCAGTCACCAACTTGACTGCCCAGTAGATAAGGCACCAAAGAGAGTAAGCAGATCCCCCACCTGCTTGCTTCCTCTCCTGTGTGCCATGCATGCCACTATGCCAGCCTCCCCCACATTAAAAGCACCCACTTTCTGCTCCAAAGCCAAAGCAGCACCCTTAAGGCAGAACCCTATACTTCTTCCCCTAAGTTAGCTTTGGAATAAAAAGTCTCTTTCTTTATACCAGACATTACTCTCATTAACTGGACTCTGCAAGCAGCAAGTGACCGAACCTGCATTTCAGTTACAATTTTGGTGACCGATATGGGGAAGTGCTGTCCGCTCTAGGTGAGTCTGAGCTGGACAGCCCAGTTATGCTCCTGGGGGAGGCATGGGGTCACCTGTGAGTGCCAGCTGCTCATAGCTAGCGGATCCCCTGACAGGAACATTATGGAACTTTCCTGCAGCTGCCAAAAGTGCTCTTGTTTTTGGAGGAGGCCTCCTTTCACTTCCCGGCATGACATCTGCCATCTTCAGTGTTTCACTGATACAAAGCAAGTGACCTCTGAAGAAGACAGCAAACTTTGAAACTGGGTGAGTTATTTGGAGTGCACCTGACCCCTGACCACCCTCTACTTTTTTTTTTTTTTTTTTTTTCTGAGATGGGGTCTCACTCTGTCGCCCAGGCTGGAGTGCAGTGATGCGATCTCAGCTCACTGCAAGCTCCGCCTCCCGGGTTCACGCCATTCTCCTGCCTCAGCCTCCTGAGTAGCTGGGACTACAGACGCCCACCACCACGCCCAGCTAATTTTTTATATTTTTAGTAGAGATGGGGTTTCACTGTGTTAGCCAGGATGGTCTCGATCTTCTGACCGCGTGATCTGCCTGCCTCAGCCTCCCAAAGTGCTGGGATTACAGGCATGAGCCACTGCACCCGGCCCACCCTCTACCTCTTTTGGGGTGTTACTGGGGGCCCTGCTCTACTTAAGATTTGGCTGCTATTGACACCATTTGAGCATTTTATGCATTTATATTTGTTTGTACATGTGGAACCATAAGAGCTTTGCTCAGCTCAAACTGCCTATGGAGGCATTTGGATCTGAGGAGGGGGATTCAGGACCTCACCCAGCCCCTCAACTGGAGACTCATTGGGAAGCACACTGTTTGTTTGCACATGCGAATGTATGACTGTGTGTGGGCCCTGGCCCTTTTCTAGACTCTCTACCTTCAATTTCACCCTCCTGACTATCCAGGAGAGCTGCCTACATGGGCTACTGAGACTCTCCCTGATGGAAGACAAACAAGAATGGTGGGGTTTTTGTTTTGTTTTGTTTGTTTTGTTTTGTTTTCCAAGAAGACTCACCATTTTTTTTTTTTTTTTTTTTGAGACAGAGTCTTACTCTGTCACCCAGGCTGGAATGCAGTGCCACGATCTTGGCTCACTGCAACCTCCACCTCCTAGATTCAAGCAATTCTCCCATCTCAGCCTCCTGAGTAGCTGGGATTACAGGCATGCACCACCATACCTGGCTAATTTTTGTATTTTTAGTAGAGACAGGGACTCACCATGCTGGCCAGCCTGGTCTCGAACTCCTGACCTCAGGTGATCCGCCCTCCTCGGCCTCCCAAAGCCCTGGGATTACAGGCGTGAGCCACCTTGCCCGGCCTCATCTATTTATCAGTATTACTATTTAGCCACTTCCCAGCAGTGTGACTGTTGTAACAAGAACAGGACTTACTTTCTAAAGGTAATAAAATAACAAGGCCATCGTAGACGGGGAACACTCCTTATAGGGAACTGGCTTTTCTTTTCCAGCCAGGTGCCAGGTAGCATTCCTGAACACACGCCTCCTGGTCCCAAACAGAGGAACATCTTCGCTCATCTCAGCCCCGGGGTTGGGGGACAGTGGTATTCTGGACGGCCATCTCCCTGCCCCTCCTCACAGCACCTGACCTTCTCAGTTCATCTGGATAAACCTGCTGTGCTTCCTGTCCAGGGAGTGAGAAGTGAGGCGCTCCTGAAAGGCTGAGCCAAAGTCTAGTAACTGTGGCTGGAAGGCTCGTGAGTTTCTTTTTGGTCACTTTACCTTTTTTTCTTCCTCTCCTTTCTTTCTCGCGCCCCGCTTGTGAATCCCAGCTCCTATGCAGAGGCCTGCCAGCTTGGCTTTCTCTCTCTTCTTTTCTGCCTTCTTCACGTCTGCTATTACTAAGCTGCCTGTGCTGAGATAAGACTCATTGTTTGCGGACTAGCTAGAATGTGAACACTGGAAACAAATTTGAAACTGAAGGAAAAATGGGCAAAAGAGGTGTTTTTAAAAACCAAACTGCCATAGACACTGCTTTACCAAAATTTTTTTTAATTAATTATTATTATTATTATTTTTGAGACAGAGTCTCACTGTGCCACCAGGCTGGAGCGCAGTGGCGCGATCTCACTCACTGCAATCTCCACCTTCCAGGTTCACGCCATTCTCCTGCCTCAGCCTCACGAGTAGCTGGGACTACAGGCGCCCACCACCATACCCGGCTAATTTTTTTGTGTTTTTAGTAGAAACGGGGTTCCACCGTGTTGGTCAGGATGGTCTCGATCTCCTGACCTCGTGATCTGCCCGCCTTGGCCTCCCAAAGTGTTGGGATTACAGGCGTGAGCCACCACGCCCAGCCTGAGTCAAGTTCTTTAGGGTTGACTCGTGGTAGGCAAAGCTGCCCCGGGGTGCCACTAGTCATATTGCCGCCCGATTCCTACCAGAATTCATCCTATGCTCATTTATTTCTGGTGTTCCTAGGTCTCGTGGGCCTATAGACTGTGACCCCTGGAGGGGCAGGGGACGCCAACATACATTCATCTCTCCTCCAAGTTTTTGATATACAAGGGAAAGCTACTCCTAAAAGAACAGATGACTCCCTGGGAATCAGGAGTGGTTACAGGATTGACTTCTTCCCAGTCATTGACACACAAAAATGAAACCAGTTGGGTCACAAACAGAAGCCCTATGGGGTGTGATGTTAATCCTTTGCTGCCCAGTGGGTCTATAGGGATGTTCGTCTGCTGCGATAGGAGTGGCCAAAAAATTTCTGTTTTCTGGAAAGGGCAGTACTCCCCTCTTATTTATTTATTTATTAATTATTATTATTATTTTTTGAGACGGAGTCTTGCTATGTTGCCAAGCTGGAGTGTAGTGGCACGATCTCAGCTTACTGCAACCTCCGCCTCCCAGGTTCAAGCAATTCCCCTGCCTCAGCCTCCTGAGCAGCTGGGATTATAGGCACACACTAGCACGCCTGGCTAATTTTTTGTATTTTAGTAGAGATGGGGTTTCACCGTTAGCCAGGATGGTCTCGATCTTCTGATCTTGTGATCCGCCCACCTCAGCCTCCCAAAGTGCTGGGATTACAGGCGTGAGCCACCGCGCCCGGCCAGTACTCCCCCTTCCTAGAGTAGGCAGTTGCTTTTGCCCTGTGTGGTCTCATCTGAGAGAAGGCACCATATATGGTTTCCTCACTTACAAGTGGAATCCCATTTATCTCACTGAGGCCTTGGGAACTTGGGAACTTGGCAACTACAGTTGGATCAGAGCATTGCAGGGAAACTTCTGCTTTTATGTCATTAACACAACAGTGAGTGCAAAAGACAGAATCATGAGTGCACCGGAGATATAGACACCCAACTTCCCAGGTCCAGGCAACAGTGGTAGGGGGATTCAGGTGAAATCTGTCAAGTGGGGGAGAGGTCCACCTAACAAGTTGGGGTTCTGGGTACCTTAGGATTGCTGTGGTTAGTTAGGAAGCCTAGGGAGATGACAGTGAGATTTTCTGGATGGTACAGAAGGTACAACTGTCTCTCCTGGGGATATTGATGACACATCCATAAACTGTGAAGATGATTCCCTGATGCTATAACTTTTGAAATATTTACTATGGAGTTTTGTTCCCAGCCACAGTCAATCAGGGTAACTAGGAGATCAAAGCCTTAGAGTAGTGTCTAACACCCAATGAAGACAAAATAGATGTTTCCTAGGAGGAGGCAGTTGGCAAAAGCAGTAGAAAAGAAGTATTACAGTCAGGAAGAAGAGAAAAATGAATGCCTCTATTTCCACCCACAGCATCACATTACCATTTCTGGCTGAGTGTTGATTCTTTTTTCTTTTTTTTCCATTTTTTGGGAGAGGGGGATGGAGTCTCGCTCTGTCACCCAGGCTGGAGTGCATGCAGTAGCATGATCTCGGCTCACTGCAACTTCTGCGTCCCGGGTTCAAGCAATTCTCCTGCCAAAGCTTCCCGAGTAGCTGGGATTACAGGCACCTGCCACCACACCCAGCTAATTTTTGTATTTTTAGTAGAGATGGGGTTTCACCATGTTGGCCAGGCTGGTCTTGAACCCTTTACCTCAGATGATCTGCCCACCTTAGCCTCTTAAAGTGCTGGGATTACAGGTGTGAGCCACTGCACCTGGCTGAATGTTGATTCTTTTAAACAGGTGGCATAGGTTCACAGATGTAGGTCATGGTGTCCTTTTGTGCCTGCAACTGATAAGGAACAAGTTTAGGCCAGGCATGGTGGCTCATGCCTGTAATCCCAGCACTTTGGGAGGCCGAGACAGGCGAATCACTTAAGGTGAGGAGTTCGAGACCAGCCTGGCCAACATGGTGAAACCCTGTCTCTACTAAAAATACAAAAATTAGCCAGTCGTGGTGACACATGCCTGTAATCCCAGCTATTTGGGAGGCTGAGGCAGGAGAATTGCTTGAACCCGGGAGGCGGCGGTTGCAGAGAGCTGAGATCGCACCACTGCATTCCAGCCTGAGCGACAAAGCGAGACTCCTCAAAAAAAAAAAAAAAAGGAAAGAAAGAAACAGGTTTAATGCTGGAAGTTTAGCAGCAGTGGGAATACTCAGCAACACCCGACAGGGGCTCTTCCTTTTTTTTTTTTTTTTTAGACG